CTTTTAAGAATATTGAAATTTGATAATTTTGCAGATCATGAAGTGTTTTCCAATAATACTTGTTTGAAATCAATAATTATTGAAATGGACTAGCAATATTCTAATTTCTAGATAAAAATTATGTTTTCTTTTTAAATCTTTTTTTTTTTCCTTTCATTTGGGTAGTTTTACCCAAACCCCAAATTTATATACCGAGTAGAACTAATTGAAATAAAAATTAGGATAAATTCCACTTTCATCTACAAAATAAATCTAACAATTAAATTTTTATGTGAATACTGGATGAGGAAAACAAAATAATGCATTAAATTATTGTTAATATAACATTATTAATGTGGATAAATCTCATCTACAAAATAAATCTAACAAATTAATAGTAGACCCTAACAACTTTATTACGAGAAGTAAAGATCAACTAATAGTAGATCCTAACAAATTCTTTTTTTTTTTTTTTAATAAAGGGAGATATCATAAATTAGGCAACAAAGGCCAAATCTATAGGAGGTGATGAACCCTTTAGAAAGTCTTACACAAAAAGAGAAGCGAGAGAGTGCGCCAGACTATTGCCTTGCCGTCTAATAAATGAAAAGAAACAAGAAGAAAATAAACGAGAATAAAAATAGCATTCTTCGATAATCACTCCAAAGGAATGAGATGAGGATTTATTAGCTTGGAGAATATTGATAAGTTGTTGGCAATCTCCTTCAGTCGAAATATGCGTCCACACTTTAGTTCCGGGTGCTTGTAGCGCATGTAGAATCGCATAAGCTTCGCCTTCCACCGGTTGACTCTTCCGGCGAACTTCCTAACTTGCCACCACACACATTAAGCCCTATCATTTCTCACCACAAGTGATGTACGAAAAAGCCTCGATTCGGCGGAAACGATGCATCCACGTTAATTTTCAAGACACCGAATGGAGGGGGTTCGCATTCTTGTATGTTTGGGGCCTTTGTCGGTAACCCAGCGCGCAGGTGGACATCATCAAAAGCACGAAGAAATCCGCTGCACCACCCCACGGTCTCCGGATCAGTAATACTCACCTTCCCATGCATCTCCCTCTCGTCCAAACTGTCGTGTAAATGGCTGAACACCCCCCGAAGGAGTTGCAATATCCTAACAAATTGAATATGAGAAACGGGTAAAATTGAAAATCATACTTGAGGTTCGTACTCAACTTTAAATTCATCCATGAGGTTCTATTTTGGTTCAATTTCATCGTTCCAACCTTCATTTCGTTGCTAAATTTAAAGGGGAAAAAATAAATACCATGACTACGTATTAACAAAAAGTGACCTTTAGTGGGAAAAAAATAGTTGTTTGAAAAACTAGATATCGGAAAAAAATAGTTGTGGGGGTAAATTTTAGTTTCTAAAAATATGAATTGA